GAAGGAATATGGAATCAAGAGTGTGAGGAGGCCTTCAACAATTTGAAGTTATACTTGGCCACTCCACCCCAACTAGCCACACTGTCCCCAGAGGAACATTTCTTATTGTACTTAGCTATATCTAAGCATGCGGTAAGTGGAGCATTAATGAAAAATTCCCAAAGAGGGGTAAGCTCGATCTACTATATCAACAAAATTCTCCTCGACGCAGAGACGAGATATTTGCCACTTGAGAAGTTGGCTTTAGGGCTCGTAAGCTAGGTCAAAAAATTACGTCACTACTTCCAGGCCCACATGATCGTAGTACTGACCAATCAGCCCCTCAAAGTGCTATTTAGAAAAGCCAACTTATCTGAAAGAATGTCGAGATGGGCCATAGAACTCGATGAATATGACTTCCTTTACGAACCTCGCATAGCGATTAAGGGGTAGGTTGTGGCCGAGTTCATCGTAGAATTCTCGTCGAGGTATAATTATGACGGTAATAATCTTCCGTCGGGGTCAAATATCACTGGAGGGAGCTCGACTAAAAGGAACATCGCGAATTTGAAAAAAGTTGGAGTTTGTCAGTAGATGGATCTTCAAATCAGAAGGGAGCAAGGATTGGAATTATAATTGAGAGTTCGGAGGGAGACATGCTAGAGAGAGCTGTAAGGTTTGGTTTTCAAGCCTCAAAATAATGAGGCAGAATACCAAGCCTTAATGGCTGGGGCTAGACTCGTTGTCGACATGAATATAAAAAGACTTTAGATTTTTTTTGATTATTCACAATTGGTGGTGAATTAGATATTGGGGGAAATACTTGACAAAGGATGAATGAATGCTTGCCTACTACAACTTGTCTAGACATGAGCTCGGTCGAATCCCAAAATTCTCCATTCAGAAGATTGCCCGAGCCAAAAATTCACATGCTGATGCATTGGCATCGATAATCGGGGAGAATGAAGGAAGAACTATTAGAGTAGAGTTCCAAAACGAACCAAGCATTGTGTCTCAATTGTCCAATGAAGCACTACTAGTCGAAATAGGACCAAGTTGGATGGATCCGATCGTGAGTTACCTCAGGAATAGGGATTTTCCTAAAAACAAAAAAGACGCTCACAAGGTGCACCTAAAAGTAGCCAGGTTCTGGCTATCTCTAGGGGAAGAACTTTATCGACACTAATTCTTAAGATTGGACCTGCGTTGCGTACACCAAGACAAGGTCCATGATTTCTTGTTTGAGATTCACGAAGGAAGTTGTGGTGCTCATATAAGGGGAAGGTCGCTAACCCACCGAGCACTATCTCAAGGATGTTGGTGGTCATATATGCAAAAAGACGCGTAACAATTTGTAAGGCGCTATGAGAAGTGCTAGATTTTTTCCCTGATACTGAGACAACCTCCGCAATACTTGCTGCCATTAACAAGCCTATGGTCGTTTGCACAATGAGGACCAGATATTGTAGGGTCGATGCTAAAAGCACCTGGGAATAAATGGTACCTTCTCGTAGGAACTGATTATTTTGCGTAGTGGATAGAGGTAGAACCCTTGGCCAATATCTGAGATACGGATACCAATATCTGGAAAAACATGGTTACAACGTACAACATACCAATGACTCTTATATCTGATAATGACACTCAATTTGAAAGTGGGCCCTTCAAGGATTTCTATGAACATTATGAGATACGAAACTATTACTCTACATCTGCCTACCCCCAAAGTAATGGACAGACAAAAATCTCGAATAAAACAATTCTTGATAGAATCAGGAAAAGGCTAGAAATTGCAAAGCATAAATGGGTAAAGGAGTTACCCAGCTTGTTGTGGACATACCAAACCACACCACGACATGCAACGAGGGAAACTCCATATGCATTAGCCTATGGCATGAAAGTTGTAATACCCCTGAAAATTAGTTTGCTGATGCTTAGACCCAACCTAGCGAATAGTGGGGGAAACGACATCGTCATTGCCAGAGAGTTGGAGCTAATTGAAGAAAGAAGAGAGGCAATGACCATTAGGCCCACTGCCTGTCAATAGCAAATTTCACGAACCTATAACAAAAAGGTTCACCCTTGGACTTTTGATCTTGGGTACCTAGTATTGAGACGTGTGATGGGTTCTACCAAGGACCCAACACACTGAAAGCTCAGAGCAAATTGGGAAGGACCCAAAAAAGTCATCCGAGTGGGAGGAAATGGGTCTTATAAGTTCGAGACTATGGATGAAAGGTAACTACCTCGTCCATGGAATGCGGCTAATCTACAAAAGTTGTACTTCTAAAGTACCTTCAGAAATACGAACTCCAAAGTAACTTAGAAAATAGGAGTACTTCCTTTCAGAAATACGAACTCCGAAGTGCCTTCGGAAAAAAATGAGTACCTCTTGAAGAACATTCTTTGTAGGAAATGTTTATTGAAAAAAGGATTTGAGTTTAATATAGTTCCTTGTGAATTCAAGAATTTGAGTTTATTGAATCCATCCTACTGTCAAGGTAGTGTGGCAAAAAATCCTAATATAGGTAGAAACCTAAATCAAGGGCAACCACCCGATTAGAACTAGGCCCAAGGTTAGGCATGATGATGTAAACCAATTGGGTAAAGGTCTGAGTTCCATTGGATCAACGGGTCGATGCGAAATCAGAAATGAACTTTTAGAAGAAAGGCCGAACAACGGACCAAGTCTTCTTTGAGAGATTTCTGAATATTTAAAAGGTCCTTAGCCAATGGCAAACGATCGAACTCTCAGAAGAAAGGCCGAATAGATGCCTAAATCTTCTTTGAGTAAATTCTAAGGTCCCTAGCTAAATGCTAACAACCAAACTTTTCAGAGAAAGGCCAAACAAAAGGCTAAACTCCTTCGAGTAAATTCTAAGGTCCCTAGCTAAAGGCTAACGACCTAACTCTCAGAAGAAAAGCTGAATAGATGGCTAAATCTTCTTTTTCGAGTAAATTCTAAGTGTTTAAAGGTCTCTAGCCAGTGGCTAATGAATGAATTCTAAGAAGAAAGGCCAAACAGATGACCAAATCTTCTTCGAGTAAATTTTGAGTGTTTAAAGGTCCCTAGCTAAAGGCTAACAACCGAACTCTTAGGAGAAAAGCCGAATAGAAGGCCAAACTCCTTCAAGTAAATTCTAAGATCCCTAGCTAAAGGCTAACAACCAAAATCTTAGAAGCAAGAACAAATAAAGTGCCAAATAAATCTTCTTTAAGTAAATTCCAAGTGGTTAAGGGTCCCTAGCAGGTGGCTAATGACCAAACACTTAACATTCGCTAAAAAAATTCTAGGTGTTTAAATGCCAACGTTCTCTTAATTTGTTTGAGGGTCTTGACAAATGATAAGGTTTCTTCTTACAAAAGGGGAAAAGTCATTGATGTAAACAACAGAAAGCATTCCAATATTACTAAAAATTAATTGTCAACAGTTGCAGATGGTGGTGCAGAACTTGTAGCAGCGTAAAGAGAATACAGTTCAGAGGACGAAGGCACATCAGCAGTCCGTAAGGTGGCCCCCCAACCTTTGCAAAATGTACCTTTTCAATTGAGGGGATCTGTAGGGCCAACTCACCTTTTGCCTTCGACATCCCCTATGCGAAGGTAGCGTCCTCTAGCTCGTTAGACTTAGCTTTGAGAGACAAGTGTTCCTCTAGAAGGGTCATATGCTCCTCTTGGGTTTGAGAAAGCTCGGCATTAGCTAGACTTAGAAGTCTTAAAATCCTTCGTCAATCAGACATCTGTGCCTAAAGGACGAGCATGTCTTCATAGAACTTGGAGACTCGACTTCTACAGTTTCTTTTTTATCCAAGATTGCCATGCGATTGAAGATGGCATGCTTCATTGCCTTGTCCTGAAGCAACATTTGTGCATTTAACACAATTTTTTTTAAGGATAGTGGTCATCCAAAAGAGTGTTGTAAATGTCACACCTAGAAAAGAGGTGGATGGCCATCCTTCTTGATGTCCATCCAAACCATTGTCTCCACCAACAGCCCCTTCTCTGGCTGACTTTTGCCTATAAAAGGAAGCTCTTCAGCATGTATTAGTACACACTGAAAAGCAGGGAATGAAATAAGAAAAATAAAAGAAAATTGTGATTATAAAAATCAACACATTGATAAAATGAGTTTCCGAAGAACTTATTTTAAATAAATTTTGTGCATTATTTTCTTTATATTTTGCTAATATTTTATCAATTTCACAACAAAATAAGACTTTATGGAATTAAATTAAACATCGAAATTTTAACCTCCCGAAAATTGTTAAACTTGCAAATTTGCCCCTTCCTAGTTGAAATTAGATTTTCCAATTGTCAAAAAGGGTCTTCTGGTCATGTTATGTCATCATGGTGACTTTAAGTCCAAACATCTAAAATAAGACTTTGTTAAATTGAATTAGACTTCGTGATTTCAACCCTAAACTCCACCAATTCTTCTCGAATTAAAAAAGGGGAGCTTGTACCAATTTTTGGAATAGGCTCCCCTTATTCGATCCAAATTGGGCACCTCGCTTTTTAAAAGGAATTCAAGCACTACTTCCCTCATTTAATCCACCTACACAAAGTCACACAAGCCTCGAGTCTTTTCAAAAAGATCCTTAGTGTAAAGTGAAAATATCATATCAGAGGAGTAATTATGATTTAAATGGTACAAAATCTTCCTCTAAGCCAAAATCCCATAAGATAACACTTAAATAGTTAGTTGAAAAACAAAAAGAGACCAAAAATTTTCATCAGGAAGAGTGGCTTATAAATATGCCCCCAAAATCATACATAGGTATACTATGATTAGTATGACAAATAACAAGGGTCAGGAAGTCCTCTGTGAACCCATGGCGATGGGAAATCATCTATTGCAAGTATGACATGAAAAAGCAGACCACCTGAAAATTGGCTTAACAGTATGTGCTTCAACTGACATTGCTGCCACTGCTTCCCTCCTAATCTACCCACGCCTATCCATATTTTCTACTCTGGACAGCAGATTATCAGCTCTGACTCTATGCTAGTAAACAGCATGATTACAACTCATCATGAACCTCGGGTTCAGGATCTGCTTTGTCATCGACTGAGCCATCTGAATTCCCTGATGTTTGATCATTTTGGGAGGAAGTCTCCTCAGAAGTTGAGCTGGAGGTATTCTCTTTGTCCCCATTGCTCTCGGTTTCATTCTTTGTCGGTTTCTCAACTTTAGGTTTTGGCTTGGGAATTCTATCGACGCTTGAAACCTACATCAATAACCAACATTCCTCGGTGAAACCACATCATATGCCTAGAAAGAACTTGCAAATCATATCATAATATACTCCCTTAATCCCTAGGAGACAACAACAATACCTTGTCCTGAAGATCAAATATCTTCCCATATATTTCTTCAGATGTAAATGCCGGAGTGCTAAATCCAGGAGTCCTGTTAAAAGAACCCACTCAATCATTTGACACAGGATAGGACTATAATATCTTAGGACAGGTCATAGTGGCACAAGCAAAAAATTCTAAGACAAATCAAGGACTTTAAGTGGGAAATATATTTGTAAACTATATCAATAAATAAATATATTGATTTGACAACCCCATAATTGTAGGACAGACCACAAGATTCTCCCAAGGCATGCAGTATAATCTAAGTAGCAATTTATGATAAATATCTACAAAAAGACATTTCAGTGTTCATTCAACCGGAAGTCCAAATTAGAGGAATATTGCATAAATGAGGTACTAGTTAAAAAAAACCAGTCAAGCATTGTCAGAATGTGGTGGATGGCAAAAATTGCTTCTCTAATTAAAAGGACACAGAGGCAGGCATTGTTTATCAATTTGACTAGATAATTTGAGCGACAAGTTCTTCAATACTGTTCATATCCAGACAAAAAAAATCAAAGGAATAAATTGAATAATTAAAATTATAGATATTATATGTAACTACAAGTAGTACAAGGGAACAGAAGCAAACAAAACAAAAACTTACTTCTTCTGCTCATCCTCCTTCACGTCTAACCAATTCTTGACCTTTTCAGCATCACTTAGCACCTGGAAAATGAAATGATGTGCTCAAGGATTTGGGCTCCTTAGTTATAAACATGCAAGACAACAGTTTCTACATGAAATACAAGGAAGCTGATTCAGATGATTGGGGTGTAAAAAGCACCTCATCTATTCTCTCTCCTGGAAGCCAAGATTTGTTTTTCTCCCATCCATTTACAATCTGCAGATGCTCAAAATAAAAAATTTGAAAAAAGGGACACAGAAAAATGGTCAACGAACTGATGACCATGTCAAACTAAGCATAAGATGAATAGTAAACTTCAACAGTACAAATAGTTGTGTTCTTTGGTGTTTCAAATAAATCAAGGCCTTCTATAGAAACTTGTGCAATCAATACTATTTGAATTTGACATATCAACAACTTATTTAATTGATGATAGATAAGATGCATAGTAAAATTAATACCAATTTAATCATGACAACTTTTTCAGTTCTTTAACAAGTATCTTTGAGTCCAATAGTGGCAAAAAAATGCATGTTTTTTTCTCGATCATTTCTTGAGCGGCATGTTTTAATTTTTCGTGGCAGGAGAATTAACAAGAACTAATGAGCCAGGAAGAGCTTGATTGGGTCAGCACCACCTTTTTTATTCTTTTGACCAGGGAAGAATGGGAAATTAAGAATAATGGTACGAACACCCATGAATAAAACCAGCCACATGTCTGCCACCTGAAGGTGTCAAAATTACTGAAGAAAGTTAACAAAGTGTATTCGACATATCAATTCGAGGGCTTGAATCCCTCTTGATTGTGCCATTGGAGGTAAGCGGCTCTTTTTTCGTTACCGTACTCCCTCCAGAGGTCTGCATCGCCCTGCTTCCAGTGTTTTCTCTTGTTTTTGCTTTTCTTTGAAAATGGATACAAGAGAAGGGGGTGGGGTGTTGGTTTACTTAGTTCACAAGGCAACCCCTTGTGGTGGGCTATAAGATAAGATACAACTATTATGCTGTTGACTGGGAAAAAGGAGCTTCCTTAAGAACCAGAAGCCTCTTATATGTAATCCTCTCTTCTGTTAGTAAAAAAACGGTTGAACCAAAAGGCAGAAAAAAATTTGAAGCCAAAGCCCATAACCAACGACTCTACCACAAATTTCATCCACTGCAAAATTGATCCACAAGGGCTTGTCTATCCTGCTTGGGAAAGTAAATGGACACCCAGTTTCTATGAAATTGAACATCCAACACGAGTCCATTCACAGAAGACCTGTATTACTCTCTTCATTGCTGAATTTTTTAAGGCATCCTGGTTGAGGATGCCTGTGTGTAGGTTGTAGGTGCTTTTGGAATGGCTTTCCATTGCAACAAGAATGTCGCAGAAGTCAAACAGTTTCTTAGTCCAATCCCGCACCCAATCAGGATTTGCGATTGGTCTCATAAAGGATGCTCACTCTCTTTCCCCTTGAAACCCCTTCACGACTATAGAGAAAGTCTCTCCTCTACGAATGTATACGCTTATAACACTTAGTGAAGTGGTGACAATTACAAGAATACGATATTAGAACTATATTGTAACTATTGTGGCAAGAAAAATTGGTGAATGGGTATGGAACCAGTTGAAACCTGGCATTTGAAGAATTAGAATCTTTAATATATCTGCCTAGTAATTAGTGGCAAAAACTTTAACTTTCATTCTCTAGTTGAAGGGTCAAGCATCCAAAATACACTGGAGTTGTAAATGACATAGCGTTCCTAATAGAAAATGACGATTCCTTTAGAAAAAAGAATTTATTGAAGTTCTTTTTCCTAAATAAGTTCCACTCTGACGGCCCGACGCGTCATCTACTAAAAAGGACCCTCAGAAAAGGGAAGGGAAACTTTGAGTTGCGAAATTTATTTGACACATGAACATAATTGCCTAACAACATTTTATCAATAAAAATAAAATTTACAAAAAAAAAAAAACTAGACTCGCATCAAAGTGGATAGGCAGTCCAAACAAAAGCAAGCCTATGTAACCAAAACAAACAAATTACAATCCACACGAAACTTTCCAATTTGTTCTAATACAAAAAAAAAAAAAAATATCTTGAAATTCCTTGGACATTGATGCACAAAAAGAAGCAAAAAAATATATCCTTTTCAATAGACCTTCAAAATCTTTGCATTTATTCTAAAAAATCTTCACATTCAAGTACTTCCAAATCACCTATATAGTAGCAAAGAAAGCACTATGCCAAATGATTTCCCATTTTTCTATTCCCTCTAAAACCCACATCTTCCAGACCAAGAATAGATATCGTAGTCCACGCAATACCCCTAAAATCAAAAAGCTTGTTCCATAATGCACGTGTCAACGGACAATGCAAAAATAAATGATCCACATCCTCACTATCACCTCTACACATAAAACACTATTGCGGTTGGAGACAAAGATTTGGTGTCCTCTTTTGAAGTACCCCATTTGTTTTAATTTTCCCATGAGCCCATGAACAAACTTGTACTTTTAAAGGCACTTTCTCCCTCCGAATCCTCAGTGATGGAAAAAAAGAAGGAACCCAAAGTGTTTGATGTTTATATGTGCACATATTTTTTGACCTATTATTGAAGATGTTAAAGTATCCTATGTTATGTAAGACGTTGCGATACATTTCATTGAGCAACAATGGTATTTTTAGATGTTCTACTCATTTTATCATTTTTTCCAAATATGCATGTGTCTTCCACTATGTGGCAGCTGTCACATGGTTATAAAAATATGTTTACTTTGGAAGCCTAAAATTCGAGCTGCACAAGTTGCACACCACTCAGTATTTGGTACAATGCGAAATGTCCATCCCTGCTAGTTCTTATCCTATATCTATTTTGAATTAGCATACAAGTAATGATTTTTGTTATGTGTTATTAAGTTTTAATTTAACAGGGAACCACTAGTTCAATGATTAAAATTCGGTCCAATAACTTTGAGGAAGTAGGTCCAAACCTGAGGATTGCTACTTTGTACCTATAATGCCAAAGGTTAAGCCTGCACCCAATCTACTCTCCCAAACCTCCACTAATGGGGATTAAACTGGTATTATTTTTTTATTATTAGGTTGTGGGTGTCAATAGTATTTTGGTAATTTTTCTCTAGGATTAAAGAGTGGACTTCCTTGTTGGGCTTCATATTTTCTGTTCCTTCAATCATGGGTTTAGTAAGTCCGAACTCCGAACAAAAGTCCAATCTAGTAGAGAGTCTAAGTCATATAGTCAGCTTAGGGCCCAATTTTACTTGGTGACAAAAGTTCTCTTGGTTCTCAAGCAGTATTATTCTCTATGTAGTTTATTATTGGCTTGTTTTGAAGAAAGAACAAAGATATCAGGTTATGTTGCGTGATATTTTTGTTTTGGCGTGAGCACCTAAGAGCTTGATGAAGATTCTTTCGTCTCTCTTCTTCATTCATTCTCAACATTCAACTAGCAATCAGGAATACAAACCAGTCCTTATATACTCAGAAGCCCAAGTCTTTCTTTAAACAGCAGCAACCAAAGAAGGAACCATTCACTGTTGATGGCACTAGTCATATTGCAGGAACATCACCTAGTCCTAAGTTTCTCTCCTTCTTGCCTTATGATCCCCTACTGAGTCACTACATTTTTCCCAGTCAGCCTTTTTCTATAGAACTTCAAACCCATTTTTCTATGCGTTATAGCATCAAGCTGTCAAATCTTTCATTTAGATTTCATTTCTATGGAATTTAAAGGCAAATGATCCTACATCACATTCCTTCATATAGAAATATAGACATAAGCAGAAAGCAAATGAATGTAAGTTAACCACTTAACAACAGTGTCACAACTTATATCAAATCATCCAGTCAAATTTACCTGTAATAGCTCACCAAGGTATCTTCGAGCATGTTCAGATGCAGCTGGCCTTGAAGTAAGCTCATTATATCTGCATCAGGTAATTGCATGTAAGGACAAGCTCTATCATTTACAGAATAAATCATTTTTAACTCATATGAACTGACATAAAAAAAAGACCTGAAAAATATTGGATCACCAATGGCATTTAACATATCTAGGCGTTCTTGAAATTCTGTGGCAGAAGCATCTTCTCCATCAGTGTACAACCAATCTTGCACCTGAAACAATGCATGAAGTTTGACCGGTTAAGAAACCTAAGCGAGAGAAATAAAAGTCCCACGAGTTGCAGGCACAAACCCATAACACCTCTCCCCTCCCGAAAAAAACAAGGAGAGAAACACACACCCACTCACTAAAAAGGGAGAGAGAGAGAACCTCATCAAGTTTTTCAATAAAGGATTGGCGCTCCTGGCTGGAAGAAATTTTTTCAAATTCCTCAGAAGTTTCAAGCTGGTATAGCAATAATGCAACCAACATGAGTAAGAAAGGTAAAAGAGTAAATTCAATTCATTATACAAAATCAATGAAAAAAAAAAAAGGACAAAAACAAAGCAACAAAATGAATATACAAAACACAATCAGCATACCAAAGGATCTTCCACCAATGCAATTTCTAACTTCAGAGCAAGTGTGTAAAACAAAAGAGAGAAACCAAGGGTAAAAGATATAAAGCGGAAAACAAAAAGATCACAAGCAAAACAAGGCAATGCAAACAGTCATGCTAGCAAATCATAGTAGTAAGAATTCACAACGCAAAAAAAAAAATGATGCCTAAGGCAGGATTGAGACCTCAACGAGATTGATTCCAACAATGTCACCAAGCATTTTATCTCATCAAAAGTGAGCAGGTCAAGATGTTGCAGGTTATCAAGTGAAGTATGTACATTTCTTAAATTTATCAAAACACTTCAAACCTTTTCTCTAGTAGCATATATGTATCCTTCGAGGTTATTTTTCAGTTCTGCAGTTCTTCTTCTCTCTGCATCCCTTTTGTCCAGTGTTTCCAATTTACGTTTGGCTTCAGCAAGGGATTCTTTTGAAAGTGGCATTCCCAGCCCCATAGTCTTTTCAAAAATCTACAACAAACCAATGAGACAAATCATAAAAATGAGTGCATACCAACCTTGCTTCTAATTACAGGATTAAAGCATTTAGTTAGTTTGCACCTTCAGTGGAACTCTAAATGTCCGTTTCTTCAGCTTCTTTTCTGTACCAAGATCTGTAGTACTTTGATCATTTACAGTGGAGTTGGATGTGTTATTATACCCATCATTCACATGCAAGTTGTCATTGTTTCCTTCGGAAGCGTTTCTAGGATCAGCTTCCACTGATATGTTGGGGGAAGCAGAAGCTAGGTTCTCCACTGTCAGATTCTTTTTAGGCACTTCTACCCATTCAGATATCTCGATAACAGCATCTGCTCGATCCAAAGAAAATATCCCACTTCTACTGAGAGAGAAATGCAAACTGGCCTTAATTGGGGAAGAAAGATTACGTGATGAGTACCTAAACAACAAAAGGGCACAAGACAAAAGATCAGTTATAACAGGATAACAGAATGTCACCTCTTAAAAGCATGAAACTAGAATCCAGATCAACAAAAAGATCAGGAAGTTGCTAGTCCTTACTTTTCACTAGCATCATTCAGACCAGTCACAGTATATTGAGCAAATGTAAGGGAAGAAACACCACGTGGTAATAGGTCTTCACTCTCATAGGCTAGTGAAACTTCAAAATCTTTATTGTGAACAATGGATCTGAACATCTGAGGCAAAAAAACAATTAAATCAATACCAAGTTATTTAAGAGCGCAAATTTTCAAAATTCTGTTCTATGGTTTGCCAACTCTACCATATGCTGTCCAAAATTTTCAAGTACTTACCTTGCTGGGTAGTTTTTTCATTCGTGGTACGAGCAACTGTCTAGTACTTTCATCTTTCAAAAGATCAGGACCATCTAATTCAATCACAAATCCATATGTAGAACCATCAACCATCCCTAGCTTACGATTTAATTTGATTCCATCACTTAAATTGGCAGCATGTAACGAGGCACCAAGAGCTATAGCTTCGTCAGCATCCAAATGTTTGTCCAGATCTTTCCTCCCAAGGAATTCCTGGAGCTTAGCCTGTAAAACAGGAAATTAAGAACTTCCTCCAAAACCATCAATCAACAATTTGGATGAAAGCCCAGATCTATCAAGAAAACACAAATAACATTTGCACGGTCTTGCGTCTTAGAGCCTACATGTCCACAAACACATCACGGTGGCATCCATGAAATGTGTAATTGAGAAAGCCCAAAACCTAGACAATGAAATAATGTAGTTGTTCGCTCATCTCCAGATGCTAGGGAAAGAGAGTAGTAAATACCTGCAACTTAGGAACCCGAGTGGCACCTCCAATCAACTCCACAGCATGTATCTCATCAACCTTCAATCCAGAATGCATAAGTACTTCTTTCAAAGGGATGAGAGATTTCTCCCATAGATCTTCACAAAGCTCTTCAAACTTCTCGCGCGTTATCGTGCTCCTGGAAAATAAGTAGAAGTTTCTGATAAGCAGGTAATTACAAAGAAGCCAAATTTAATGTATATCTGTCACAAATAACAATGAAATCACATGGTAACAAATCAAATGGTGCAATTTGATGCAACTCATTGGCTCTGAGGCATGATAACTGGACATGACACACACACACACTCTCTCTCACACACACATGCACACAAAACGTGGGCACTACACAGTCATGCAGGCAACCCCCCCCCCCCTTCCCGCAACAATGTGCATGGAGACGAAATGAGGCAAAGAGGTTGCATATAATTAGTGAGAGTTAACTGTTAAAGCTGGTGTTCAAGCTCATGGGAGAGATGAAACTGTCTTTACCAACAAATATTTTGGCATCCTAGTTTGGAATCAATTCAAAGGTACTAATTTGCAGTTTTACAAATGGAAGAACTTATGTTTTCAGCAGTGCCTCGCCCTTTATGGTGTAAACTATAATATGCTACACATGTATACATGTTAAAATCACCACTGTGTTCCCATAACAAGCTGTCAGATTACAATCTGACACATCCAATTGATTAAAAAATAGTAAGATAGAAATTTCAGATTTGATGCCCCACCATCGATAAATATTTCTCACTTAATGCCAAGCCCCCAAGTTGAAAGCTGACATATTTTGGTACAAACAACAGATTTAGAGTAAAACTTTCAGAGTTTTTCACATGGCTTCCATTCCATGATGCACTGAAATATTACATTTTTTATCATTTCCTTTTTTCGTTGGGAATCAAAGCTTGACCAATCAAAAGCCATACTCGACCCAACAACCAAGTTAAGGCTCACTGCCTCTACTTTAGGTAGTGCATTCTTCTCTCCAAGAATGAATTCCTACAGAGCAACCATTCTGGTCTAGTCTATCTGTACTCATACAAAAACAAAAGCAACGCTTAATAAACTAATAAGCCATCCATTATAAAAAAACTAATTACAAATATAGTTCTAGACTTGGCAAATTTCTTAAGATATCCTTGATTGACTTATACTACAACAAAAAGACAGTTAGTTCGATAAACTAAGAGCCAGCTATTTTAGCAATAATTAAAGACTTCATTCCCCTTTAGTTGCTTTGGGGCTTCGCTATAATTAAAGGTATAAATAATGCTCTGATGATCTGGCCATCAATTATCTACTAAAATGCAGGTAACATTTTGAATTTCCAATGGAAATTTTTGTAATATGACAACACCAACTAGATGTTCGATGCCCTTATCTGACCCCCAACTACATGTCTTTTTCTTTAGATGTATCATTCCATATCTATCTGAAGTCTTTGAGGATACCCCTTTTCTTAAAATAGGTAGAAACAATAAGCAAATAATTTCAGAAAATATAGCTGTCCAACATTATAGCACAACAAATCCCATCAGAGGCAGTAAAGAATGAAGAATTCACTTTAAATTCCACCGAACTACCGTCAAACTAGAATTCCACCTACCTAAAGTCACGATCATCGTAAAGAGATTCAACTGAAATTGGAGCAACCGTGTTTGCACTAAGAATTTCTTTTGTACGTTTAATCTGTTTCTTCAATTTAGCCATTGCCTTGGGAGACTTCCTTATGTCAACCCCATTTCCAAGCTGTTTGTTGAACTCATCCGCAAAGTACTCCACCAACCTTAGTTCCAAATTTTGACCTCCAAGTTCTGCATCCCATCTGACATCCTTGACCTACAACAGCATCACATGGTATCAAAATAGCACACCAACAATACCAAGCATAAATAATACTTTCAATCAATAGAAAAAAGCATGACGAACCACCCAAGATATAACAATGAATGGGGATGATATTAACAAAAGGATGATACAAAAGGGGTCCAACAGATTTCAAAATATACATCACGAAGAACAACACTAACAACAAGAAGGAAAAAAACCAGACGATCACCTGAAATACATGACAATGATATCTGAAAAAGAATAGCAAGAAGCAGCCTTGCTCAAGAAAATCCTAAATCCTAGATATAAACAAAGTACAATACTCCTTTCCGCACGACACACACACTCTCATACATGCTAGCAATTATGTACAACTGAATGGTCCCATCAACACAACCATATTTAACAAAAATCAGCCAATCTCATAAAACTTTCAAAACCAAAGACATCCAATGCAATGCACACCACATGTTTGCATAATCACATTGAAAGGAAAACAACGCAGAAAAAATTCCACCATTTTGGAAAATTACCTGGAATTGATTGACAGACACAGTCTTGCCATACTCTTTAGCATTATACGCGGAGAAATACACAAGAGCAGCATAAGTACTACTCGCACCCATATCGTAAAAAATCACATGCCTAGACCCATTGGAAAAATCCTTATCAATTCCATACTGTAACGCCGCACCAGCATGCTCATTCACCAGCGAAAGCACATTAATCCCGGCCAATTCCGCAGCCTGAATCAACCCTTTTCTCTCTGCTTCCCCAAAGTAAGGCGGCACAGTTATCACCATATCTCTCACCGGAACCTTCGCATGAAACTCAGCCAATTTCATGGCATAACCTAATAACATCCCCACAAGCTCTTCCACCAAATAAGCAACACGAGAATCACCATCTACTTGAAACGCCGCAACGCCCCGTGAATCCTCGAAAATATCGAATGGTAAGTACAAGGAATCGAGAAATGTCTTCGTATGATTAAAGGGTTTTCCGAGCAAATCCCGGAGATGGGAATAAACTTTGTTTGGGTACCGAGCTATGAGTCCGGCGGCTTCTTCGCCGATCAAACGGTTGTTGTCGTGGAATGCAACCAGAGCCGGTGTTTTCCTCTTCGACATCTCGTTAATCGCGATTGAGATTGGAGTCTGTCCAGGTTTTAGATTCACCACGGCGACTTTCAACGATTCTGAACCTAGATCTATGCTACAAACAGCTGATTGGGACGGAGTAATTAACTGGATTGAGAAAAAAAGCAGGAATAAAAATACTCCTGATCGGAGTAAATTCAATGACATTGTTAGACAAGAAGAGAAACGAAGATAGGAATTTTCCCGAGACCCTCCACTGAGAGATTTGAGAGTTGAAGTTGGAGGGAGGTGGAAGTTGGGGTGGAGGGGGGAGGAGAGAAGAAATTTATTATTTTCTCCAGAAAATTCGCTGAGAAAAGAAGAGGAGTTTAAAACGTGTAATGACGACAGCTGACCAATGAGCGCTATCACAGTCATGTCCCGACCAATTATAGAGAGCCACGTCTTAATGTTCTCAACTTCTTTTGCGTCTTCGATGGGCAGTTCGACTTCTCATTTTTTAATTGCAGGAAACTCCCCTAAAGGTTTGGTAAATGACATATAAACCCTAACATTTTAGAAATGACATGAACTGTTTTATAAATTGAAAGATAAAAAGTCCTCCACGAAAGGATGGAATTATGTTTAGGAAAAATATCAAATAAGTTCTACATTTTTTAGCAATAAAAAACCAATAAGTCTTGTCATATTTCAATAAGGACAATCAAGTCCTATTTTTCATAATTTATTTCCAATTAGTTTAAAGCTTCATCAATTACACTTATCTTTGCAATTTCTTTATTGAACAACTAAATTTTTGTTCATAAATACTTGATGAATCTCAATTTTTTGTTGAAATAAAAAAAAAACTAGCTCTATAATTCATACGATTTTTGTACAACTTGAAATAGAATTCTTATTTTTGTTAGACTTGTATAAAAATTTATATATCTAATCTTTATTTTTAAAATCATGCTAGTAAGAAAATAGGCTACATTTGAAATAATTCTTCTAGTTTTCTAATATGTTTTTTGGACACCAAATAGTGCTAGTGAAACAAAAAAAGATTTTACATGGAATTTGTTTTTCTATTATTTAGTTGTTTATTTATTTTTGCAATTTTTTTTTTATAAAATGGTATTTTTGTCCTGAAAACTTAATGGGTTAACGAGGGAGGGATAACATAATTATGACTTATTTGAAATTTTGTTGAAAATATAGGGCTTAGGTCATCTCCGCTCCTTATTCAAAGTTTTACGCAAATTTAAATTTAAATAAAAACATATTAAAAACAAGCTCCAGTTTTTGACTCAAATCTATACCAAATGAAGTGAGACTCAACTTTTTACTCTAATCAAGATAGATTCAAATATTTATTCAAATCTTCGATGGTTAGATTTCACTCTTTTGAAAGATTCAATAATAATATTTTACCTTCTTTTAAATTTGAGTTTGTCATTAGGAATATTTATGCCAAATTAAATTTTTTACTCAATATTTTACTCAAATCAAAATTTGAGTTTGGGTCAACATTCAAAATGATGTAAGTTGTCGTACTAGACAATCATCTCTTACTTTTATTAGTGCAATTTAGAATTTAAATTCCAGATTTACTTTTTTATTTATTGGTATTTTATCACTTTTAATTTTGAATAAGAGACATCAGAATACTTGTTCCCTAAAAATTTTTCCGAATCCACCTTCCTACCTGCCATGTCATTTGTGCATGCCCTACCATTAAAACCTATTTTTTTCCAACAGAAATTGAAACATTTAAAGCCTTCCAACCCATTTACTTTACCCAAATCAAAGAATCCAAAATCTTGAGTGACCGAAAAGGTGAAAAGAGTAGAGCTTCGGCCAAACCGGACGGTGGGCGGTCGGTATCGTAAACGTCGATGAATAACAAGTCTTTGATGACCACTAGTTTGATGCAAAATAATCTATTAGATGCAAGATTTCCAGTTTCTGTTATTGCTACAAAAATAATCAATTGAGAAATACAAGATTTCATTTCACAAATATGCTAGTAAATATTCTAATAACTTTAGACTCACAAAGCAAAACTCACATTGGTTCCATGGAATTCTAGTACATTAAGCAAATCAATCCACATACACCAAGCCAACATAAGTTACATACAACTCATATTGAGTTCCATATAGAAAAATCTAGCAAAGGGACTAACTGGAATCAAATCTCAGAGTGCCTCATCGAAGTACCTTGCTGGAATAAACATATTATTTTGTTTTCAGAATTCAGGTATTTTTAATTGATTTTTTTGTAGCAATAACTTTAAAAAATATTTCTGGCTTCTTAGTAGCTATCCAAACATGATATTTATGTGTTGATAAATATATTATGTTTAAGAATTAAATATTATATTGTATAGGCATGGATGAAGCAGTATCAAGTGATTCTGCAAGTGTGGAGTTAACTCAACACATTATTGAAGCTATGATGAAATTTTATACAAATTATGGAAAAGAACTTAGTTTTGTCATGATTAAAAGAATATGTTCAAGTTGGGATGATGGGGGATGAGATATGTGATGGTTACTTATGCTGGTAATGGAAAGTCACAAATCAAGTCAAGCAATCCACTTACCGCGCAACCAATATCAAAAACAAGTTGCAAAGCCATGCTTATTGTTGTGCTTGAACTTGATGGAAAGTGGCAAGTGAAATCTATGGTACTTGATCATAACCATGAGTTGAGTCCAAAAAATCCCGATTTTACAGATGCAACAGATACTAAAACCATTTGTGAAAAAAAGGCTTGAATTGAATGATAGGGCTAGTATTAGAATGAACAAGAATTTTAATTCATTTGTCAAGTGGATATGTTGAGCATCCATTTCTAGAAAAAATATTATAGAAACTATATTGATAAAGTCAGACATTAACGGCTTGGGGAAGGAGATGTTATTGCCATACACAATTATTTCTTCAGAATGCAAACTGATAATTCAAAATTTTGTCACATGATAGATTTAGATGAAGTGGGTCGTCTTAGGAATGTGTTTTGGGCAGATGCAAGAAGTAGAGTAGCATTCAAAGAGTTTGGTGATGTAATTACTTTTGACACAACAAACTTGACAAATATGTATGACATGTCATTCACACCATTTGTAGGTGTGAACCATCATGAACAATCTACATTATTAGGGTGTGGACTTGTATTAAGTGAAGACATAGATACGTTTAAGTGGCTATTTCAGTCTTGGCTCAAGTGTATGAATGAGTGTTCTCCTGCTGCAATAAAAACAAATCAAGATAGAACCATGCAAAATGTCATACAAAGTATGTTTACTAATGCATGTCATTGGTGGTGCTTATGCCATATCATGAAAAAAAAAGTTGAGAGGGTACAATCAACATGAGTCAATGAAGTTCTCTATGCAAAATGTTGTTTATGATTCATTATCAAGAGAAAATTCGAAGACAATTGGTGCAAGTTCATTGAAATGAAAAATAAAACTTGAAAGTAATGAATGGTTGTCTAGGTTGTGTAAAGAGAGTGAATGTTGAGGGTCTACATTTGTGAAATATATTTTTTGGACTGGTATGTCCACTAAACAACGAAGTAAAAACATGCATGCATTCTTTGATGAGTATGTACATTCCAAGACAACCTTGAAACAATTTATTGAACAATATAATAATGCATTCGAGATAAGGTGGAGAAGGAGAACCAAGAAGAATTTAATTCTTTCAACTCATGGCTCCCATGTACTACTTGTTAAATAGTGTCAAATTGCTTACACACGGGCAAAATTTAAAGAGTTCCGACAAGAAAGAATAGGAAAAATTTCTTATGATTTGTTTGGATGTAATGAAACTATGTGCATTGTAGAATACGAAGTAAGTGAATATATGTCGATTGGAGAAGGTCATCGGTGTGCTACATTCAAGGTTCCATTAGACAAAGATACAAATGAAGTCAAGTGCAATTGTCGATTATTTGAATTTCGTGGAATTTTGTGCAAACATGGAATTACAGTCCTCATTCATAAAAAGATTTACAAGATTCCAGCCAAGTACATATTAAAATAGATGGAACAAAATAGTCAAAAGAAGGCATACAAAAATTCGTATCAGGTATGCCAATTTGGTTGCTATACTTGAATCCTTTCGGTTTAGATTGCTAAATATAGCAACAAATACAAAACAAAGGAGCACAAAAGTGATGTTGTGGATCTCCAAATTGAAAGATGAGCTAAAAAGGAATAATGATTTATGTCAAGCAATTCACAAGTTTGCATTAAGATTAATAATAATTCAACGTCATGTGGGAATGATATTGAGACTTCAAAAGAGAGCCAAAAAAATACTTACACCAGTAGTTGTTCATAGAAAAGGGCAACCACTATTTAAAAGGAAAAAATCTACGACAAAAAAAAAAGCTGTGAAAAGGACAAAGAAAATAGAGTCTTTATCACAAGAGGAAAATGTGACGAAGGTAAAATCGCATCAAAATGGAGTTTTTACAATCTGATTGCTTACTACATTTATACCTAACTTTTGAAATTATATATATATATATATATATTATAGAATGAGTGCTTGGATCACAACAATTACAAGGATTACTTGGATTGCAAGATAGTTTCTTCATGAATGTAGATATATTTTTCCTATCATTTATTCCATTATGTTTCTCACTTCAATGTAATGCTATTATGTCGTGTATGTACTAGGTTAATGGAGGAAGAAGCCATGAATTTAATGCATCGCTCATGTGGCAAAATATAGTTGCCTATCCAAACACCAGTGGGAGAATTCCATTTGGGCATCCAAATATTTTTACAAGGATACAATTTTAATTCGACATTTCACCCAAATATGGTCAGTGTTGGATTTATTGTTAGTCAAAAAACATTAATTACTTTTGGATGAGTATGAATATGTCAACTATGCGTCCCACAAGTTCTACAAGTTTTCTTGGAAGGAATAATGAAACATAGTTTGACAATGGATCATTTCATAAGAATGATATAAGTTGAGAGTTATTTTTGTACCAAGTTTGTGAACCAATGTGTTGGGCAATTTGTGTACCAAGACAGTGTTCCATGACGTTGTGTAATATTTTTGAACCAGTTTGTTGGATTAGATAATGTTTTATTGTAGTTGGAATATATGGGTTACATGACATTGTTTTATTGTAGTTTGGTAATTTATGTTCCTGGTGGTTGTATTATTTTTGAACCAAGTAGTTGGATTAGACACTGTTTTATTTTAGTTGGAATATATGAGTTCCCTAATGATGTTTTATTGTATTTGAATTTTTACTGTTCCAAGTTGACTATTCATTTGTGGTCTACACAATTATTATTGGTGCAAACA